AAATGACAGGAGAAAGCCTAACCAATAGGATGAATGAAATGGAAAATAGAGTATCAAGACTGAAAGATAAAGTGGACAATCTAGACCACTCAAGCAAAGATTATGAAAAATTTAAGAAATCACAAGAATGGAATATGCAGGAATTGTGTGACACCATAAAAAGACCAAACTTACTAATCATAGGCATACAGGAAGGAGAAGAATCCCAAGATAATGGCATGGACCAGATCTTCAACAGAATCGTGGAAGAATATTGCCCAAAATTAAAGACGCACCCATACAAATATAAGAAGCATATAGAACACCAAACAGGCAGGACCAGAAAAGAAACTCTCCACGGCACATCATGGTAAAAACACTAAACATACAACACAAAGAGACAATACTGAAAGCTGCAAAAGAGAAACAACAAATCACATATAAAGGAAAACCCATTAAGATTACAGCTAACTTTTCAGTGCAAACCATAAAAGCCAGAAGAACCTGGACCAAAGCATTCCTAGTTTTAAGTGACAACAGATGCCAACCTAGATTACTATACCCAGCCAAAATGTCTATTATAGTCAAAGGGGAAAGAAAAATCTTCCATGACATAAATAAGCTGAAGGAATTCATGTCCACAAAACCAGCCCTTCAGAGAGTTCTGGAAGCAATACAAACAGCTGAACAAAGGAAGGACTATACCCAAGTGGTTGCAAAAAAGAAATTCAATGAAGGTATAACTTTGGAGAAGTACAGCTACATCAAGAATGTAAACAGAAATAAAAATGACAGGATTCAATACTCATCTTTCATTAATAACTTTAAATATTAATGGACTGAACTCCCCAGTCAAAAGACACAGACTAGGTGAATGGATTAAGAAACAAACCCTATCTTTTTGTTGTCTGCAACAAACTCATCTCACTTTCAAGGACAGACACTATCTTAAAGTGAAAGGATGGAAAAAAATATTCCAAGCAAATGGTACTAAGAAAAAAGCAGGTGTAGCAATTCTAATATCTGACAAAATAGACTTTAAAACTAATCAGAAGAGATAAAGAAGGCCACTTCATTCTTATCAAAGGAACAAATAAATCAAGATATTATAATCATGAACATAAATTCACTGGTGCACCCAACTTCATAAAAACAATACTACAGGACTTTAAAACCCATATTAATCAGAGCTCATTAATAGTAGGGGACTTCAATACCCTACTGTCTCCACTAGATAGGTCAACAGGACAGAGAGTTAACAGAGAGACATCTGAATTAAACAATACCATATATCAAATGGACTTAACAGACATCTACCGAGTATTCCACCCAAGCACCAAAGGACATACTTTCTACTCAGCACCCCATGAAACCTTCTCCAAAATCGACCATATACTGGGGCACAAAACAAACCTCAACAAATACAAAAAGACTGAATTCCATGCATTCTGTCAGACCACAATGCAATAAAGGTTACAGTCAACACTGGAAGAAGCCCTAATCACCGCATGAACACATGGAGATTAAACAACACACTCCTAAATGATGAATTTGTCAAAAGAGAAATTAAGAAATAAAAGTATTCCTGGAACTAAATGAGAAGGACAATACAACATGACAAATCCTCTGGGACACACTGAAAGCTGTCCTTAGAGGGAAGTTTATAGCTCTAAGTGCCTACATCAAAAAATCAAAAAGAACACAAATAAATGACTTAACATTGCAACTCAACACACTTGAAAAGCAACAACAAAGGAAACTGAAACCCAGCAGACAAGAAGAAATGACAAAAATCAGGGCAGAAATTAAGGAAATCGAAACAAAGAAAACAAAGAATCAACGAATCCAAGAGCTGGTTCTTTGAAAAGAGAAATAACATTGACAGACTGCTAGCGCAATTAAAGAGCACCTCCAAATAAACAAAATGAGAGATGAAAGGGGAAACATCACAACAGACACCAGAAAGATACAGAATATTATAAGG